ATGCCTCGGAGACTGGGAGAGCAGGTTTCCGAAGGCAGGAGAATAATTAAGGAAACAGTTTCAAAATGTAAATGATAAAAGAGGGTTGAGGAGGAATGAGGACAAGGAGGAGATGATGGAGATAGTGTGATGGGGAGGAGCAGGGGCGGGTGAGTCCGCTCCCCAGTGGAGAAAAGGGCTGGAGCTCAGGATTGTTCCTGTCTGAGGGTGAAGCTCCTAAAATATCAAGGTTAGAAGCCTCCCCAGTCAGCTGTGCGGAGCGGGAAGAGCACCAGATTGGGAGTCACGGGCTGGATTTAACCTCCAGTGGGCTTTGCAGCGTATGAGTGGTGTGACCTTAGGCAAACCACTTAACCTTTCCGTTTCCTGATGCTCAGACCCAAGCCCAGGCCTGACCATGAAGACCAAATGGGCTAAAATATGTGGGAGAACTCTGAAAAAAAATGTGACGTGCTAGACCAATGCAAGCTACAACCATTTTCCTAAATCCAGTTTCTGGAAATCCTTCCCTCAGGATTGGAACCACTGACATATTGGGTTTGGTTCCCAGAAATGTAATGTGTAAATGTCCAGAAGGTAATGGATACTCTAACCCAGTGGTCAGCAAACTGTGGCTCTTAGGCCCCTTGAGTGTGGCTCTTCCACAAAATACCACGTGTGGGCATGCACATACAGGGAGATTGAAATTTCGTGGCCCATGCGCAGAAGTCGGTTTTCAGCTCTCAAAAGAAATTTCAATTGTTGTACTGTTGATATTCGGCTCTGCTGACTAATGAGTTTGTCGACCACTCAATAGTACAACAATTGAAATTGTTGTACTGTTGACGACATAATTGACTGGCCGCCCTGACAGAACTGAGACCTGGGGAAGCCCTATCCCACAGGCGCAGTCTGAGGGGAGCGCCGAGGACTGCTGTTCCTCGGAGGTCACCTGCCAGCCCTGGGCATCTTTTCGTGAGAAAAGCCCCACTGAGTCAGCTCAGAGGTTTAGGCCCAAACAACAGGATGCAATGTTGTGCGGTGTTAAGCACAGGAAACTGTTGGCAGTCATACACACCATCTGAGGGTCTATCTGTGGGATTCAGCTATTCCCCTTTCTCTGGGGACAGAGACTAGCTTAGCTAACCTCAGTTTTTTCATCCACTAAGTAGGTAGAATAAAACCATTTATTGAATTGTTGTGAGGAATAGAGTTATGCAGGTAAAAGCACTTACCTTGGGGTCTAGCACAGTTTAAAAAATATATATATTTTATTGATTTTTTTACAGAGAGGAAGGGAGAGGGATAGAGAGTTAGAAACATCGATGAGAGAGAAACATTGATCAGCTGCCTCTTGTATACCTCCTATTGGGTATGTGCCCCCAACCAAGGTACATGCCCTTAACCAGAATCCAACCTGGGACCTTTCAGTTCACAGGCCGATGCTCTATCCACTGAGCCAACCGGGTTAGGGCACCTGGCACAATTTTAAACTTTCAGTAAGAGTTGGCTGTTTTGATTACCAAGGTATACTATTGTATTATTATTATTATTATTACTATCAGCAGCAGCAGGCACTAACAACGGATTTAAGGAAGCTTCTTATTGGGGTTTCCTCATTAGCTAGGGAAGTGGAGAACCCTGGAGGGAGGGGAAATGCCCTGGCAGAGGCAGATGTGAGTAGAAAACCTTGGGAATGAGACCCAGTTCTCACCAGGAGGCAAAAGCCTCTGGAGAAGTCTTATAATGTAGAAAGGGCATCTGCTGGCTGAGCTGCTGACCACACGTCCCAGGATTGAGGGCCAAGCGGACCTCCTAAGGCTCTTCTGCCATCCAGGAGCAGTGACAATGGCTCCCCTGTATCACTGCCCCTCCCCCAGCGGCAGGCTAGTGGCCTGTGATGAGAGGAGGGGAGGACCTGGCAGGTTCATACTGGGGGAAGCAGGAGCAGCAGAGGACATGTGAAACACATGATTCTAAATTATGAAAGTAATCACCACACAGGCTCCACATTTCACTGCATATAAATATTTCATCTTTCAATAATAGTACTGAAAAAATATAACCACTTTACAGGAAATCTGGGAAAGAGAAAAAAGAAAAAAAGCTCAGTAATATATTTTTTACCCCAACATAATTTTAAATAGCATTTGGGTATCATGCAGTTTTCTCCCAATGTTTTTGAAAACAGTATTTTATCAGTTTTTTTTCTTTCTGTTTTATAAAATAATGTGCTTTTTGATGAAACTGGGGGAAAAAACAAAAACAAAGAAAAATATCCACTGTACAGATAATCACTTTTATATTTCAGCATATTTTCATCTATGCTTCTCTTTTTAAAATATCTCAACATTCATATTGCTTCATATTCTCTTTTTCCCCTCCTAATAAATCTCAAACACTTTTCTACATTAATAATATCCTTCTGATGTATTTTCTAACGACTACATGGCATTCCATTTTATTTACTCAAATTTATTTCATAATCCCCTATTGTTGGATATGTAGGTTATTCTCTTTTTAAATTGTTATGAACTTCCTTGCAATTCTATCCTTATAAATATTCTTGATTATTGTCTATGGATAATTTCCCATATGAATTGGGTCAATTTTTTAGGCTATAAAACATATCGCCAAAATGCCCTCAGAAGACACTGTCCTTTTTTTAAATTCCCATCAGGAAATTGTTTTCTAATTTCTGAACATCCTCATCAACAGTGGGTATTATCACTGTTAACATTTTTCTAATACTTAAAATCATATAGTATTGCATCCTGATTTTTTAAAACTTGGTCTTCATTTCCATGTTGCTAGATTTCATAATTAGTTTTAATAATTGTAGAATGCATTTCCAAATAAATTTAACATATTTCACTAAACGTCTTTTATTTTGTGGGGGCATCTAATAGGTTATTTTTCTCCAAATCATAATGCTGTAATAATATCTTCATGCAGGAAACTATTTTTTTTCATTATTATTGTGTGTACTAGTGGAATTACATGAGCTAAAGGGTATGAGAAAGTTTTATGGATTTGATACAAATTGCCAACTTGCTTTCCATACGGATTTAAGAGTTTATAACGCATACCAGCTACATTTGTGAGAGTATCTGGTACCTCTCATTTAACAGGTGAAAGGAGGTCTGTACTGTGATGTTTTAATTTGCTTGTCTTTACTGACAGAGGCTGGCACTTCCCCGTGTTTGTTTACTAGTGATATTTTTGTAGGAAACACTGAAAATGCCACCCGATTCTTTGCCTTTTTCTTTTTTTCCTTGGGGACTGGAGTCACCTCACAGGTAAACCGGGAAGAAATATGCCAAACCCAGTGCCAGTAGCCACAGAAGCCATTGTGACACTGAAGACAAATGCTAAGTGCAGGTGGTCATGCCATCTGCCCCCACCCTCAGGCTCGTCCCTCTCCAACCCTAGTGTCCCCAGTTTGGGGACAACACCAGGAAACAAACAAAAAACAACCACAACAAAAACAAACAACAACAAAAACAAAAGCAAAAAAAAGGGACGTGCACGAAGGCTGGAGAGGGTACCCAGTCCCTCTTCCCACGCGAGCTGGGCCTCACTGTGCCGGGCGGGCGGACACATCTGCCTGCAATCTCTGCAAGGAAAACGCAGAGGGGGTGACGCGCGGGCCGGGATCCGGAGCCGCGCTGGTTTCCTGCGGCCTCGGCGCTGCCTGCAGTCAGGCGGCGTCGGGTGTGTGATCAGCCTCAGAGAGCCTCCATGCAGACCTGCGCCGGCAGTGGGCCTCTGTGCTCTCTCCTCCGGGAACCTGCGTTGAGAATGTAAGCGTGTATGTGCGTCTTGTAATTGCAATAAGCAGCACACGGCCCCTCGCTGCGGAGCCCGGGCGTCCTGCCTGCAGGCGCGAGGTCGGAATTGTTTCAAAGCGCCCGCGGTGGCAGCGGGCTAAGCGGTCTCCCGAGACCCAGGGCCTTACCGGGCCGAGTGGACCAGGGCTGAGCGCCCAGGGAGGCCCTGTCGCCCAAAAACAAGGGGCACCGACGGGTGGGGAGAGAGGGGAGAGCGGACTGCAGGCCGCGGCAGGAGGGGGCGCGCCCTCCGCGCACGGTCCCCGGCCCCTTCCCCTGTGTGACGCGCGCTCCGGGCCCGGAGGACCGGCTGTCCTGGCCCAGCCTCATCCAGCCGCGGGGGAGAGAGAGAGCCAAGCCTGGGGAGCGCCGGAGGGAAAGGAACCGGCCGGGAGAGAAAGAGGAAGAGGATGGTGGAGCCCGCTGATGACGGAGCGCGTTCAGTCCCAGGCGGAGAGAGAGAAGCCTGGGACCGGAGAGCGCACGAGGGGGGACGGCGTCGCGGTGCAGCCCGGGCCCCAGGAGGGTCTGCCCCGCCCCTCCTCGCCCCTGCGTCCGAATGGAGGGGCTGGGGGAACCCCCGGAGGACCCGCAGAAACCCGCCAGCCCTGAGCGCCGCCGCCCGGACCACCTGCTGCCGCTGTCCACAACGCCGCAGTATTTATACCCGGGAGCCAGGGGCCGGGTGGGGTGGGGGTGGGGGACTGCCCGAGAGGCCCCTCCCCACGCCATGCGGCCCCGCCTTCCCGCACCGTCGGCCCCACTCGGGGCGCCAGGACTCCCCCCCCCCCCCCAACTCTGACCGGTGTCCGCCGCTCCCTGCCCGGCCGGGGGGACCGGCTGGAGGGCGGGCCTCCCTGCGGAAAGCGACGTCATGGCCGCGCCTGCAGAGTGAATGAATCAAACGCCGGGTGACCGCGGCCTCCCCGGCGGCGTCCGGCACGCGAAGGGTGGAGGGAGGGGGAGGGGGCGAGGGGCGGGCGGGGAGGGAGGGAGGAGGGGAGAAAAGCCAGGGCTGCAGCAACAGCGTCTCCACCGGGATGTGCACCAGCCCGGGAGAGCGAGATCAAAGGGATCTGAAAGGGACGGAGGACCGGCGGGGGGGAGGGGGGCGGCCAGCCTGTGGAATCCTCCCGGAGAGGGGGAGGGTCCTGCTTCCGCCGTGACTCCTCCGGCGGCGGCGGCGGCGGCCTGGCTGGGCTTTTTATGATTATTTTCAAATTCCTGAATCCAGCTCGAGAGCGAGCGGGCGAGCGAGAGATCTCCGTAGACTGCTGCGCCTCGCTGGCTCTCGCTCCTCCGAGATGATGCAGAGCGCGGCCGTGCCCGCGGAGGGGGCTGCCAAGGGGCTCCCGGAGATGCTTGGTGTGCCGATGCCACGTAAGACACCCCCCTTTCTCGCTGGTTTAATTTAATAACAAGGCAGCCGGCTGCCCCGGCTGGTGCGGGGCGGGCCGGACGCTGCGCGCAGCCAGGACAGACCGAGGGGGCCGGGCGGGGCGCGGGGCAGCCCGGGGCGCAGAGGCGGTCACGGGGCAGGGGCGAAGGGCCCGGCTCTTGGCTTTGGGGGCGGAAAGGGAAAGCCTTCCAGATCCGAGAGTGCCGAAGCCGGCATCCCCAGCCCGTGGCTTTTCTAGGACCATCGGGGAGAGGGCCGTTTGGGGACACCAGGGGAACCAGCTTGCAGGGCAGGCCTGAGCGCTGGGTGGTCTCCCCAAATCCTCCTCGCCCCCATCCCGCCGGGGGCCACTGTCAGAGATCCCAGTTGTAGGTACAGCAACTTCACCCTCGCTGGCGGGACGTTGGAGAGCGCCTCCCTCGCCCCCACCTCCCCGCCCTGGGGGCTGGCGGCGCCGGAGCCCAGGTCGCACGTTCCGTCCCCGCGCGCAGGGCACGCGCGCCCGGTGCGTCCCCGCCGCTGCCGCTGCCGCTGCCGCTGGTGCCGCCGGTGCCGCCTGCGCCGCCCAGGCCGCCTGCGCCTAGAGGGGGAGTCCGCTCGCCATGTTCCATGTAGCAAGGAATGGGAAGAGGGAGAAGCACCGCGACGAAGTTGGGAACTCAGGGAGCAGCTTGTGTGCAGGCGAGGGCGGGCTCTCGGGAGGTCTTGGGCTCGGGAACGGGAGACCAGGGTGGATAGCGCTTGGCTCGCCCTCCGCCTGCTTTCCCGCGCCTGACATCAGCCTGGCAGCGGGAGCTGGGGCTCCGGGCGTGCTTACCTCCTGTGTGTCTGTGTGTGCATAGGTGTGCGCGCAGGGACTTTCCCGCAGGGAGGCATCCTCTATCCCCTACTCCGGGACGAGAATCTGCTGTAGGGAATCTATGTGGGACCCGGAGCCGGTCCTGAAGAGTCGAGCTCGTGCGGGGGGGAGGGGGGGAGGGGGCGCGAATCCTGCTCCGCAGGCTGGAGGGTTTTGGGGGTCGCCCCTGAGCACCACGGAGAGGCGAGAGGTTCTTTCCCTCCGCTTGCCCATGGGCTGTGCTTCCGCCCCCGACTTCTTTAGCGTAGGTTTCTTTTAAGTTAAGGACCGGTTCATCCTAGGATGCTGCCCACCTAGGCACTGGGGCGCACCAGCGCCTCCTGCGCCCCGGTCACCATGGCAGGCAGGGCTCCAGTCCTGGCCAAACCGCAAAAGGCAGGCTGACTAGCTACGTGTGTCCCCGGCTTCCCTGAAGTTTCTGAGAAAGGACTAGAAGAGCATAGTGTCACCCAAACCTACTCAGGTTGCTTCTTCCCTAATAGCCCACAGCTATCCTGTGTGCCTCATCTTGTCAGGTGCTGACAGTTTCACGTCTGCGCGGTGCCTTGCGGGGTTTGCTGACTAAGGTGTGACTGTAGAAGGTTTTGGGGGTTCACTGCCCCCCTTACTGTCCCCTCCCCACCACAGGCAGGAAAGGAGCGGGTCCTCAGCCCCTGCCCAAAACACAAACCCTGGCAAAAGTGCTGCAAGTCCCTAAGCTGATGGCAAGTTCTTGAGCTCTGCGCCAGCAGGAGAGTGTGTGTGCCGCTGTCCCTGTTCCCCAGCGCTCTGCGCGCTCACCGTGGCTGTCCGTTAGGACTGGAGCACAGGATGGATAGGCGAGGCCCTGACAGCCTTTCTCAGATGGTCTCCCTTTTTGTTTCTCTTGTCCAGAGAGACAGTTGTGATTTCCACGTCAGGAGCTCCGTTTCCTGAAATGCCCAGCACTTGCCTCCAAAGCTGCAGTTTGGCCAGGGCTCCTGGTCTGGGCTGGAACTGTGGGAGACCGCGGGGTAGAAAAAGGGGACTCCTCCAGGGTGGCCCAGGGAGGCAGTGCCCAGCCAGGAGGGGTGGTCTCTCTCTCTCTCCTTTTGTCTTGCCCGGGGCCTGGGCTGCGGCCTGGGCTGGCCTGGGAGACTTTGGGATGCAGCCTTTTCTTTTTCTTTTAGGATCTGTGTGGCTTCTGCCCAACCCCATTGCAGCAAACCTGGCCGCCGCCTGTGAGCTAAGCTGTTGGTGCTGGGAGCTGGGCATAGGTGGGCAGGGTCCCCTCACACACTACACAGTTCTCTTCTCTGACACAGGGGGCCTATGGCCTAAGAACTTCATGTGGGGGCGAGGTTCTTGGGCCTCAGGGAGGGAGGGTAATCCCAGCCTGTGGGGGTTTAGACCTGGGTCTGGGGAGAGGAGAGGCTCTCAACTAGGGTCCCTCCATCCCACCACTGTGAGGTTTGGGTTGCCCCCACACACACATACATACACACATACACACACACATACACATGCCCTGCTCCTTCCACACACTTGAAGCACTTGGGGGCACAGGCTTAGGGATCCCCAACCTCGGTGCCTCTGGTGCCCTGGGCTCCAGAATATTCTTCTGCTTCTTTGGGGATGGCCGAGGTGCATGCACTCTCCCTTGCCAAGTCATGTACTAATTTCTCCTCTCCGCACGGTCCTCTTCCTTACACTGTGTCCCGGCCTCACACCGCTGCTGGCTCTGCAGGATCTGGTAGATGAGGTGGCTGGGCGTTGGGGCCTGAAGCCCCCACAGCCCTGGGGCTCCGGACCAGGCCCCACGGGTCTGGGACTTTACCAGACAGACTGTGTGTGTGGGGGGGAGGGATCCATGGGTTTGAGGGGGTGGGTGGCCTCTGGGACAAGAAGCTCAGGAAGAATCAGCGGAGGCCACTGGGAATCATCCAGGAGCAGCCTGGGGTGGAGAGCAGAGCCCAGTCCCCTGAATCCCAGCCCCATCCTGCCTCCCATTAGTGTTTCCTAAGAAACTCAAATCTCAGAACTCCACTCCTGGCCCCGGGCGGCCGGGGCTCTGTGTTCGGGAGGCCCCTCCATGGGGTCATGTCCAGTCGGAGCTCAAGGCCCTTTGGCCCTTTTGAAAGGGCTTGGTGTTTTTTCCTTCTCTGGCCCTTGGACTGCGATGTAGGGTTGAAGGTCCCTCCTGGTCCAGGCACATCCTGTCTCTGCCTAGCGGTCCCCTCCGCCTCCCTGGAGGGTCGGAGCAATCGGAGTCCTAACCCTTGAGGCCGCCTCTCACCTCCGGAATAAAACAGCCCCCCCTCCCCCACCCCTCTCGCCGGCCCAGAGGGCTCTGGACAGGCAGGAGGCGGGCATCTCGCCCATGTTGTCTGGGCACCTGCTGCCCGCGTTCCTGGCGGGAGCTGGGCCGCCGGGGGAAGGAGCGCTGCTGGGTCCGGCCGGGGTGGGAAATGGGGAACAGGCCTGGCGTCTCCTCTCCTTCCTCCTCTCCTAACATACCTACTTCTGCAGCTCTTAGGAACCCCGAAGCTGTGGGGAAGGGTGTCTGACCGTGTGTTCGGGAGGATCTGGGTGAAGGACTCCTCTGGGCGCCCCGCTCCCCCCCTTCCTCCCGCTTCTCCCCCCAGGCCCTTTGGGAAGGGCTGAGGCGGCCTCAGGCCCCGCTGGGCGCGCTCTCCCACTCCCGACTACGGAGTGTCTGTGGAAGGTTTGGTGGGACTAAGGTGTGTCTGTCGGAGGTTTTGGGGTTGTCGCGGTGCGGGGAAGGAGGGGAGACACAAACATCAGTAAATGTTCTCCAGGCTCCGGTTCAGGTGTTCCAGCAGCTGCCTCCCGCGCCGCACACCTGCCTCCCGCGCCGCAGACACGTCCAGGTGCGAGCCCACGGGCCGCCGCCAGCAGGTTCGGGCCTCACGGGTTCGGGTTCGGGTTCACTCAGCCCAGGCCAGGGCTGCGCGCCCCCCGCGGGACCTGGAGAACCGAGGTGAACGTGGCTGCGGGCGGAGGATGGCGGAGGGCGAGAGGGCCCGGCCGCTGCCTTGGTCGGAAAGGCGCCGGGCGCGGGGAGCCTCCGGAGGCCGGGCCGGCGCTCCCGGAGCGGCCTCACCTGGGCCGGCCCGCAGGTGCGGCGGGTGCGCGGTGAGGCCCGGGGGCGGTGGAGCGGAGAGAAGCCCAGGTGCCCCTCGCTCCGCACAGGCTCGCGGGACACAGAGCCCGGCGCCCGGGGCGGAGCGGCGTCCTCAGGTCCGAGAGCCTGACCCGAGGGGCCCCGCCGCGCCCGGGCCGGACGCCCGCCCGAGGGCAGAGCCGCCGGGAGCCGCCCCGACGCTGGTCCCTCCGGCATTCGCCGTCCCGCTGCGCCCGGAGCGCTAGAAGGCCGCCCGCCGCCGGGAGAGGTGGGTGCAGACGGGGTGCCCTGGGGGAAGCGCCGGATTTGGGGGCGCCGGGTCCCGCACCCCGAGAAGAGAAGGGGTCGGAGGTCGCGGCTGCGAATGGGACAGAGGCTGCGCCCCCCGCGCCGCGGCCCGTCCTCCCCGGCCGCCTCGCCGGTCCTTTCCTCCTCATCCCGGGCGCCCCGGCGGCAGGAACTGGGGAGGAAGCGGGGCGCAGGCTGAGCTCCAGCGTGGGGAGCCCGGCGGAGCCCCCGCTTCCCCCCACTTCACACCGGGCCTTGGGGAGCTCGGACCCAAACGCCCGCGCCGGCAGCGGGAGGCTTCTTTTGACCCACGAGGTCACTTTTAACCCCAGAAAGCGGTTCCCCTCGGCGGGGAGCGGCTCCTCCCGCCCGGAGCCCCAGGTGCCGGCGGGGACCGGGTGCGTGCGCCTGGGGGGCTCCCCGCGCTGCTCCCCGCGCTCGGCGGACCTCGAGGGGCCGGGGGCCCCGGAGGGAGCAGGTCTCGGCCCGGCGGCCCGCGGTGTGAGTTGGAGGCGGCCGGAGAGGAGCTGGTGGCCCGGGCCCGGGAAGGCGAACGGCGCGGCCGCAGGTGGCCCCGAGGGCCCGGGAGGGGGCCGGGCCGCGACTGACCTGGGGCCGGCGCGGGCTCCCCCCCGGGCTCCGAGGTCGGCTTCACCCAGGACGGGATGTTATTGTTGTTGTTATTATTATTAAATTGCTATTGCTACTACTACTTAGTAGGCAGGGCGAAC